TTGAAGCGGCTTTCTTATGTGAGAAAACCTGTGAAAAAGAAATGAATCATGTTTGGATTACTGCAAGAAGCTGGGGATTATGCAAAATATTTCCTGATGCATTATAAGAGAAATGCCTGTTTTCATAAATAATGTATTTATCTAAAACTGTAGCCAAATAGAAGGCCCCATTCCTTAGCAGTCAGACACAGAAACTGCTATAATTTAGCAAACTGCAAATGAAAAAGAAACTTCTCATATGAAGCTACCCTGATAAAATAGATCTTGTTATGAGAAGTTGATATAACACAGAAATGACACTAATAGCAGAACTGTGTGTGTCTGAAATGGGATTTTACCTTAAATGTAATTCAGTAAATGAAAAGAATCATTAAAATATATTACAAGCTATTACTAGAACAACGCCATATTCTTTTACAAACTCACTGCAAATTTTGAGCGAAAGAGGCCAGACGATCAAGAAACAGCTTAGTTTCATAAGGAATGAAAATATTTTTGCTGATGACTTCAAGGCCATTACAACTGCCACCAATGACCGAGGTGAGATCCAGCAGAGTCCCTCAGGCACTGTAAAACAGGACAGCTGAGTCACAATGAATCTTCTCATGGTGACAGCAATGTTCACTTTACCGGAAAGGAATGAGAGTCTGATGATGGTTCAGCCATTTCATCGTTGCCACTGTTCTTAACTTGCTTGGAACAAGTGAGGGTGCTGCTTCTAGGGCTACATTTACACAGGTGCAGTGTTTGTATTGTGTTTAGCACAATGGACTGATCTTCAGTTCAAAGACACTACAGTTCTGGTACTAATTATGATGACCATTTTCACTCAGGAAAAGGTTGCTAGATTGTTACTAGGAGAAGTAAGAGGTGGAAAAAGACACAGAGAAATTTCATGGGATCATAGAACATCCTGAGTTTGAAGGGTCCCACTAAGAGCATCAAAGTCCAACTCGTGGTCCTGTACAGAATAGCCCCAAGAACTACACCATGTGTCCAAGAGCATTGTCCAAATGGTTCTGAACTCTGTCAGGCTTGGTGCTGTGACTACTTGCCTGGGGAGCCTGTTCCAGTGCCCAACCACCCTCTGGGTGAAAAATCTTTTCCTAATAGCCAACCTAAACCTGGACAAGGCTTCATGCCATTCCCTCTGGTCCTCTCATTGTCCACCAGAGAACCTGTTCCTCTGCCTCCCCCTGTGAGGAAGTTGTAGGCACCTAAGATATCTCCACCTTCTCCACTTTGAGTACCCCTCTTACAGAAAGTTATCTACAGGCTGTCCAGCCATACTTCTGCTAACCAGCTTGTAGACAAAGGTGATGTATACTTATAGTCCCTAGTGTTTTGGTTATTTTTAGCACAGTATTTACCTGTGTTGCATTGCTTAGAATGCTGCAGTGTTTTAATTTTAAATTAAATTTTGAAATCAAAATTGTTGTATTAAAGTATTACAAGTAACTTTTTTTTTACATTGGTATACAGACAGCCACAGATGGAGATTATTTACAACTAATTTACACCATGTGGAAATCTTATTCTTGATCAAAATTATAACAAATTATAATATTTACTAATTTAAAAATTCACAGACTAGGCACTTTGAAGACTTCTGTACAAAGCAATTTCAGACCCTCAACTTCTTGTGGTTGTTCATGAAGTTCATGAAGTTTATTTTATATTGTTTGACTATATCCCTCAAAAAAAACCCAAAACCATTAAACAAATGTTAGGCCAACTGTTGTCCAGATACCAACTGAGAAGTTCTGCAAAAATGATCTTTTAGAAACTCTTTGTTATTAAGGCACCACTGATAAAAAAATAACTGTCCTGCAGTATCTCAACTATTGACGTCTGTTATAAATTTCTCTTTTCTGCACTCTGATGAAAGACTCAGCACTGCAGTTCAAGGACCTGAATTCCATAACCAGGTAGCTTAATTTGCCAATCCATTTCATCCATAAAACATAGTCTACACACATGGAACATATTATAGGGAATTCAAATGTGTGTAAAAAGAACAGTTGAGAGAAGAAGGAACATAGGATGCAGCCATATCCTGCAAATATTTTTTTCTAGAAGATCTTTTTCTAAAGAAGTACCAAATCTTAAAATTAACCCACTGCTGTACTAAGTGGTCTCAGGTAGATACAAAATGACCTTGACCCTTGTGGGTCCCTTCCAATATTCTGGGCATATTCTCTGATTCTGTGAAAAATAAGGCCAGATTGTTGAAACTCGTCTAACAGAAAGGCTTCAGCTCCAGAAAAAAACAATGGTTTGTTACATGAAATGAAACATTAGCATTGAGACATAGACAAAACAGCCTGGAATGAAAACCTGCTTCAAGTTCATGGCAGTTTCAGACAGAAAACACACAGACAACTGAAGGGCCTATTTTAATTACTCGTCAAAAGCTGAAAGTTCAAAGCAACTCACTTTATAATGGCATTTTCTGGAAAACAAAAATATTCCCTTTTCAAAGAAAAGCTGAAAAAAATATCAACAGAAATTCAGTTAGAAAAATCATCAGCAACTCAGAATTAAGATTAGAAATATGACGCAGTACAGAAATATGAAGTACATATAACTATAGACAGCATTGAATTGGTGCAAGAAAAGAAGGTACTCCTAAGAAGACTGCATCTGCCAGTAAACTATTCCAGGTCATCTGCAGAGCATTAATGATACACAAAAGCCAAAAACTTCCTGAATCCAGGTCAGCCCTTTGTTAAAAGAAGGACCTCTGAGGACTGAACAGCAAATTGATTTGGTTTTAGGTACAGATACCTCACTCCTTGTTTCCCACATTGCCTCCTGCAATGGAAATGTTACCTTGTCACGTATATAGTGCAGAGAGCTTGAGGATGATAATGAATATCAAGCCAACATTTCTCTTAGTGGTTGGTTTTCTAAATGTGGGCAGGCACATGCACTAATCAAGCCTCTCTCTTTCCACAGGAGGCTGCTTAGAGAAATATATGGTAGTAGCATTCGTGCTATGTTTCTTAGGGAATAGGGAACAGATGGAAAAAATTTAATTCCCAGGGCCTATAGCTGCTAGGGGATTCCCTCATGCCACTTAAGTCTTTGAAGTAAAAAGAAAGAAAGTTTCTCAAACCACAGAAAGAAAATTTTACTCCCTACTAACTTTTCTATTTATTTTAAAAAAACTCTTTCAGCAGAGAAAGCGTTTCTCTGCAGCAGATATGAGAGCGGCCCCAGATCCATGGAGCAATCCCATGGTGTGCACTGTGGTTGTCCTGCCAATTTCCTTTTGAGCTAAACCACAAAATGATGGATTGCCAACCACAAGAGAGTGTATTATTCTGATGTTCAGTACTTACGTGTGGAGAATATTAAGTGACCCTTTTTATTGATTAATTGGACCTTTTAATGCCATTAGGGAAAGGGTTAGGTTATAGTATCCCACTGAATGGGACAGGCAAGTGGCACAAAGGGCTTATAAATCACCCAGCTCACAGGGGCTTCAGCAGTTGTGCAAATGTACAGGTGTGGACAAAATACCAGTTAATTGCATTGTCAGTCACATGAACAGAAACACATAGTGTTTCTTTGAAGAAAACAAACTAATTTTGATCATGGAAAAACAGCTATTATTGATGATGTTGACTGCAGCTGACTGCAGGGTTGAAGCATCTCAGGAAAGCCAACAGGACTTGGCAAGATAGCCCAGGGATCACCAGCACAAAAACATCAGGCATGTGTCTGTCCCGAGGCAATGTGGAGATGTCTAGGGACATAGCAGTCCACTCAGAGTAGCTTCCTGCCAGACAAGATTGCTTGATTATTACACTGTGAGCAACTGTAAATGCATGTATTGAGGGTGCAAGCAGGAATGGCCTAAACACAAGTCAACAGGAGCCAAAGCTCTGTTTTCCTTTTTAAAGCCATGGATTCTGCTTCCCTTCTCTCCTCTTCCCTTTGATTTCCAGTGGACCACTAAGAGAGCAAATGAAGTTAATATTTAAACTGTGATTTAAGCCATGGCAGAAGAAAAAGTGACCAAAGTAGTGCTGGGGGCCTGTTGGCTAACAGAGCAGTTAGTTTCTCTACTGCTGACTCAGCTGAAAAGAGTAAAAAATGTTTATATTTATTTTAGGAAACCATCAAAGGAGCATCCTTCCAATCCTGATTGTAGCCTTTAGGTACTTGCAGCGATTACTTCAATAGCAGCTCTTTTTTGATCTGGCTGAGCCAATAACCCTGAACTTCCTCCGTGAAATAGGAATTAGCTTCTCTGGTTTTTCCTCTTCTATCCCATCCTGTCAGAGAGTAGAAGACACTTACAATCCTGAACCTAAAGTTCTTGTGAAGACGCATTTATTTGCAAGTTTCAGGTCCCAGTGTGGGAAGGGGAATTTAATTGTATTATAAATATCCCTTCAGGAGGGATAGTGCTTACATAACATTAAGATATAATTTTTCCTTGATATTTTGACCACCATCTTCTCAGTTCACCTTGTCCAGCCCCTCAGAAAGTTGTTAGCCCAGCTAAAGGGTGGTAATTGCAGGCTGAATCAGTCCAAGAATGTGAACTTGAAGAATTCCCTTTCTAGGAAGATGCCTTGAGGCGCTCCCTTAATTTGCAGCAAAATCTCACCCTACACATGGCCTCTTCGCCTACTTGCCTCATTCCCTGACTTAAACCGTCAGTTTCCACCAAAACCAGTGCAAACTCCAGCTTGTGGCATAGAGTCCTCCAGCTGCAGGTGGGGAAAGTGTTGACATGGATCCCCTGGGCGTGAGGTCTTGCACACTTGCCCTTCACCCACCGCTGATGTCCCAAACCCACAGAGTGACAGACAAACAGCCCCCTCCCACCCTGCACAGAGCAGTGAAGGCCAGGGACAGAGAGCTGATCCTCTTGGGGAGAATCTAGGCAAACATTTCATGAAAAGAAACATGCACCATTTAGCCTCGTGGCTGTCTTCATGCACTGACCACAATTATCATTAAAAAAGCCTAGCATAGGGACATTCCCAGGCTAGGGGGAATGATCTAGGCTTGGGAGACAGGGACTGAAGGCACAAGAGAGATGCTGAGAGGTGAGAGCCTCTTGGTTCTTTCTCTTACATGCTGCCTCACTGCATAGGAAAATTAACCTGCACTAAAAAAAAAAAGAGACAAATGAAAAAGAAGAAGTGCAGATTACCTTTTCCCTTCACAAACAAGGAGAGAGAGAGGCAAGATAAACTGTGCTACTTTCAGATCCAATTCTTTCCATGTATACTTCCTGGGGCAATGCAGTTATGTGCCTACCTAATAGCTCAGTCCAGCTCCAGGTAAGTAGTCATTAGTTTTCTTAGGAAATGCTCTAGCAGTAAGATACAAAAAGCGGGTAAAATTTTTCAGTCCTTAGTGCTGAAGGATATCTATAGAGAGATGTATAGTAACATAGTTATAAATATAGGTACAGGAGTACACACACATATGGAGCTTAATAAAAATCGATAGATTTGGTGCTACTTTATGTAGGGGTGGAACAGGAATAAAGAAGAAGGGGGGATATACGATTTTAATAAGCTCAGACATAATTACCATGAGTAAATGTTAATGCATATGAATGAACCTTTTTTTTTTTACTTTATGTATATTAATAGGCTCCCTCTGTGAAAGAATGACATCAGACATTGATAAATTTGACAGAAGTGAAAGGAAAAAATGGTCACACTATTAGGAACATTCCTGAGGTGGTGTTGAACGGTGTCTTTGATACATCAGCCTTCAGTCTCTGAGCACATTCGCATTAAATTGTGTGTACACTCAGAATTCAAATGAGCTGCTTCTTTAGATGCTGGCTTTTAGCTGCAGTCCCACCAGACGGGCTGGAATCAAACCTACAGTTTCAGAATATGGTATAGGATAATTTTCTCAGTACAGTTTGTGCCTGCTGATCTCTCAGAAGATTAGAGAAAGAGGCAGCATATAGCAGATCGTTAAAGATCTGCACAAGGATGAAGAGTAAAAAAAAATCTTCAATGAACACACTGCTCCAAGTACAGACGCTCTCCTATGCCAAGAGATCGGTCCAAGGCTGTGTGTATAATATTGCTGAAAGCAGAAAGATGACAAATTGCTTGGAATGGATTCACTCAAAAGCAAGCAAGAGCAAACCATTGATGTCTGAATACCTCAGCCATGTCTGAACACTAGTGCATTGTCACAACATGTATGCTCTTTATAACCCTTCAAGAAACCACTGTGAAAACAGTGCTACACACCTGCAATATATGTGTTTGTCTGGAGACATCAGATCAGTACAGTAACTGTCTAAGAATTTTCCAGTAAAGCCAGCATACACAGGTGCATCACATGGCTTGGGATTCACAGTGAGCCTAGAAATAAATAAAAAGCTGAAGTCATACATCTTTTTCTCATTAGCCCATTGCTTTTAAGAACTAGACATTGAGAGGTTGGAATTTAAAGATGTGAGTTAATACTACTGACACACATTTCCGAGCATCTTAACCCCCCCCCCCCAAACCAAAAACCAACCAACCAAAAACCCAAAAAGAAACAAACATCACACATGAAAGGAAAATATTTGGGATGTGGAAAAGGAGGCAGCAATGGAAAATGAATGCATAAAGAGAAGAAACAGAGGTGAGTGAATGTGTGTTAGGTTATATACATTAGTCTATTAGAAAATTATGTTTTGAAATCTGATTTTATAGAAATTTCAGCTATTCAGTGAGATTTCTGTAATAATGTCTGCTTTTAACAAACAATAGGAAAGGCAAAATTCTTTTTTAAAAAAGTAAAGTATTGAATAACAATTTTCTCCTCCTTTGCCCCATCAGCATGCAAGTACTGCCTATGGAGACAGACAGATACAGAAATAAGATATAAATATCCACCTTCCTGTTTATCACACAAAAAATCACCACTGGGTTTTTAATTCATTTTTTTTCTGGTTTCATACAGCAGTTAAAAATATTTGGTTTTGGTTTTGGTTTGGTTTTTTATTTTCTTTTAAAAATATCAAAGTGTCCTTTTGGTAAGCAAATGTAGGACATCATCTATATTTTTACATAATTTTTTTTGGATGTCAACCATAAGGCTGCTGGCAAATTAATTAGCATGTGTAGCCAAGATGATGAGTGCTAGTTACAAACATTAGCTCTTCTATGCAAAAATACAAGTCCATTTCAGTCTACTCAAGACAAACTGTTTTTACTAGATCTGCTGTATATTTGAATCTCTCAATGCCTACTATCACAGCATGCCTAGCAGTTAAATATAATTAAAGTGATAATACACCTGTTAACTGTGGAGATATTGTGCCTACCATCAGACTGCTTAGAATAACTAAAACAAACTGGCAGAAGGGTTGAGCGTGCAGTCTGCAGGTTCCTGTGGCTAAGAGAAGCCTCACACCATCAATAGACTCCTATTTTACAGAGCAGAGTCTTAACGAACCAACTATTTTACTGATCATTCTCCTTCATAGTCAGTCATCTCCTTCACTCTTTTTCACTGGTCTGAAGCTTTTTATTAATGTTTCTCCTCAGGGAAAGTACTCCAACTGCTTACAATTCCTCTTAACAGCTAAGTGTTAAGTGTTTAACGTGTCTTTTACCTTCTCTTAAAGCAGCCCAATGTCTGCAAGCCTGTTCAAGATGGCACCTGAGTTTTTCCCTCACCCCATGTTTTCAGCATCATCAACATCAGCATTTTAAGCAAGCAGCACTGTCTAAAGAGCTGATTGCTTCTGCATGATAGAAATGCTCAAATACTGTGCTGCTATCCAGCACAATATATTCAAAAATCACAGACAAGCAGAAGGAATTTATTTAAGAGGTCCTTTCCACAAAACCATATGCTTACTGTAAGGACAGAGGTGTTGTATTTAACTGGCAATGACTACTTTTATTTTAAGCTGGCAATAGCCTGCAACAACAAATATATCCAAGCATTTAATTTGTCCATAGATACTCATTTTCCTCCTTCTGCAGATACCCTTCCTTTCTATGTGTCCAGTGGCTAGAAGCCAAGGAACTCATTTTACGCTTGATAATTCATTGCTAATCAGTGCTAATCTGTTTGGGAAAACATCTGTAGCTCAAGCACGAAGAGAATCATACCAGTTCAGCTGCATCATTGTGACTGTTTACCACTGAATGCAACTCTGTGAATGCTTTCATGGGACCCACAGAGAGATTCATTCACTTGTGCAAGTGGCTTCCCACTAAGAATCAACAAGATGTTGGCACTTTTTGAGACCTGAACATTTAAAATAAAAGTAAGAAATGAATGTTGGTGCTATGTGCACCAATTTCACTATTCACGTCTCTGAGAGCAGTAGTCCCTACTAATACAGGTTTACCACTGCAGAGCTTGTGGAAGGCGGTTTTCGTCCTACTGAAACCTACTCAACTAAAAAAAAAATAATCAAGACAGCTTTGTAAGGGAGGTGCAAATCATGCCAGGTTTGTTTTGAATTTATGGCACTTGAATTTCCATTGGGCAGATATCCATCACCCCAACATTTTATACAGGCAATGATTAGGAGCAAAATTTGTATAGCACAGTCCATGAACACAACCGTGGAAGGTGCAGCTTCCTCATGAAAACAGCTGTAGACTGGGGAGGGAATGGAGGCAAATACGCCAAACTTAATGAAATCCAGCAACGCCTGGCTTTCAAACCCCGAGCAGGCACTCAGACAACAGATATTGAATACTTCATGCAAAATAAGGTTTATGTCATTGCTGCAAAATTCCTTTCCTGATATTTTCCTGTGGGCTTTGAGCCATATGTTTCTGCGTAATACAGCAAGGCACAATTAAGCTGCTCTGTAAGACCATGCTCTGCCAGTGCCAGCACTCTCCCGAGCAGGGGCACTGCGGTGAGGGGGGCCAAGGCACACACAGGCACACACAGGCACACACAGGCTGCGTCTCGCCCTAAATCTGAGGGCTCAATTTTGAGTCGAGGCTCCTGAGGCATGTCTCAGCTCAGCTTGACGGATCCATAGGGTGGTTATTCAAATGTGATGTTGTCCTGGTCTCATCTGGAATGCCTGCATGACAGTATTTCCCACTTACCCCTTTTTTTATTCATTAAAAATAAGACAGCATGAGCCTCTGAGAAACCTGTCTGTAAAACAAAGGTCTGCATTAAAAACAGGTATGAAAAACTGTCTTCCTGACAAGCAGTCGCTATTTGGAGGTGCATCTATCTCTCAGGGAATCAGTTACATGCCAGAAACAGAAACAATCCCATACAAACAGCAGCATAAGGGGAATCTTGAGGCTGAAATTTAAGCACTGAAAAGACAGAGTGCACCTCAGAAAAAGCTAGATTAGCTACCTTATCACTGCCTGCAAGCATAGACACAATATTACAGCCCTTAATTAAGCAGACATGTTTTCTCTCTGACAGAAGGTATCAGATGGTCTTCTAGATTTTCAGTGTTTAGCATATATTAACAATTTGTCTCTTTACCACGCGCCCATCATTTAATTAGCATAAAAAAACCCTAGCCCTCTGTTCACTTGGTCATCTTTATAATACATACTCTTATCTCAAAGGAACTTATTTTAATAATTTCATTAGTACAGATGTACAATGCATTCCACTAGACATTTTTCTATTTAGAGATAGATGTACTTCTTAGCAATAATTTATTACTTATTACCTTGCAAGCTGTTTTTTTAGACAAATAAGCTCACAGTTCCATTACTAGTGTCTTTTAATGATGTTTCTGTTTCAGATTGCTTTATCATTGGAGTCTAATCCAAATTTCACTGAACTTTCCCATTAATTTCAATGAAAGGCTCTGTTCTTCATTTTCCAAGCAGCTGAAAGCACATCTCAGAAAAATCTGTATACTATTTATCCAACAAGACATTTTAAAATAAAAAAGCAAAAAATTTCTTTAACATCAAGTTGCCTCTCTAATCAGCAAAACATCTTGCAGAGGTTTGTCACTACTTAGATGAGAGCATGTTCTAGAACATAGTGAATGAAAGAAACCTGGATGTTGAATGATAAATGGGAGTAGGGTGTTTTCAGAATTACTTTAGAGGACAGTACAAATGAGTTTCATATGTAGGCTTGCAAAATCGTTCATGTTGGGCAAATTTGAAAACTTATCCAAAAGTAATGAAAAGTCTGAAAAGAGATAAGATTACAAGAAAGTGCTAGAAACACAAGGTGGTCTCTGGATCTTTGGGCTGTCCACCACCTATTCCACGCTCCTTAACACAACTGTGAATCTTGGGAGGATTTCCTGCTGGGAGACACAGTTGCAAAGAAAAGACATAACTCTGGAAAGTAGAATCTCTGTTGAGTAACCCTCCTCTACTTCACTCTCAAGGGATCCCACCCGGGTTATTAAAGCCAGCTCTGGGGCACCCAACATAACAACATGGACCTATTGGACAGGTCCAGAGGACAGCCACTAAGATGATCAGAGAGATGGAGCATCTCCCCTACGAAGTCAAACTGAGAGAGCTGGAGCTTTTCAGCCTGAGGCATGAAGCGGGAACCCCAATATCTCCCTGTTCCATGCTCTTCCTTAATGATGATGCGATTTCACTGCCTATATCATGATCCAGTCTTGGAAAAAAAGTTCTAAAACTTGTAAAGGATACCTGAGAACTTTGCTGTGTTAAAAATTCACGTGTATCTTACCTCTTGATTTTCTTCTCTCATTTTACTCCAAACTTAAAATTTTTGGTGGTTTTTGCTGTTGAGCAAGTACATTATATGGTTTCAATGATGTTTTGGAAAGACCAAACTGAAGATTAAAAAAATTAAGTACTTTAAACACTAATTTAATAAGTATGTTTTATTAAGTTAGGAATATTGAGTACTAGTCCCTCGTACTTAAATTCATACTAAGAGAAAGGAGAAGTTACCCTGAGGGCGCCACATGAGAGGGGATATCCATGCTTATTAAAATGGCAAAATATTAATTTTCTATAATGAATACATTTTTTCTACTGGGTAGGATTGTGATTGACCCTCTGAAAATTAGACATTGAGAAGACTTGTTACATAACTGATTTTCTTTTCTTGCATTACAAATTTGTTCCTTGTAGTTTCATCTGTAATGATTTATTCAGCAGTTTATTAAAACAGAAAAAAAAAAGACTTGTTATTCTTTCCTGAACTTTCACAAAAGAATGAAGAGATTTAAGAAAGAGAAAAAAATGAGACACTGCATTTCTCTCTTATCAATATCAAAAACTCATCCTAATAAGGATTACTCCTACTCTGAAACCACAGCTCTTCCTGTTTCCATAAAACTATTCACAAGTTGCATATATTTCCATATTTGATCTGCATTAATATTAAAATCTTCCTGAAGTTTCTGGAAAGATTTACATGTTTTATCATCAGATAAATCCTTTATTATCTTGTACCAAAAGTTCATTCTTCTTTAAATGCAATAAATACTTAATTTGAACAAACAAAGCAAAAGCAATTAAGGAAAAGAGATGCCCTATGGAAAAAAAAAAAAAAAAAAAAAAAAAAAAAAAAAAAAAAAAAAAAAAAAAAAAAAAAAAAAAAAAAAAAAAAAAAAAAAAAAAAAAAAAAAAAAAAAAAAAAAAAAAAAAAAAAAAAAAAACCTGGAGATTAAATTCACAGCCGCATTTGTTGTCTGCATACAATTTTCAGAGTCAATACCAAATAGTAAAAAAGTAGCAAATACCAAACCTCATATGTAGAAGTCAGAACCATGCACTGCTATATTGGATGGATGAGTAGCAGAAGAGACAGGATATGGCCATGGTTGCTGGAGACAGAATGCAAGAGGCAGGTGGACAGCATGACAGGACTGAACAGGCCACAAACTCTCCAGTAACATTTGCAATAGGAAGTGGATTTTGTTTCCCAGGAGCTTTAAGGTGTTGAAAGGTTTTATTTATTTATGGTCAATCCTTTGGAGTTCTAAATTCCACAGGAAGTTGCTCAGCAGATCAGAGACTCCTCAAGAACATCACCTCATGGTATTTCACCACTTCTCATGGTACCTGCCTGCCAAGAAGTGTGCATATGGCTGCACGGAGTGAGACATTAATAAGAGAACAGAGGGGAAGAGGGGAAGAATAAGAAGCTATTCTCATAGACATTGTGCAAACATACTACAAGAGTGAAACAGATTTAAAGGGAGATAAGTTTGAAAGTGTTTGGACTTGTGTCCGATGCAAATTTCACTGTCTTTAAAAGTAGCCTCAATCTAAACTATTATATCACTCAGAATATACACCACATGCTGCTGGTCTCACTCCTGATCCTCCCAGGCAGTTTACTCCTACAGTAAAAAAGAAAATTTCATCTTTATCTTATTTGGCTATCTCTCTTTTTGTGTCTGCTGTGACTCGCGATCCCCATCTCTTGCCATCTGTCAGTGAGACAGGCCAGGGAAATACAGAACCACTGGTACTTATAGCACTTGAAACTCATGGATAAATCATTAGAGAACATACTGTAGGGAACAACTTCACAATGACAAGGAAATAAAATCAATTTTATAATAAGTCTTCTCAAATTCTTATTTCCATAGGGTCAATCCTCAGTCATTCCCATAGAAAATTCTACCCAAGAGGGAAAGAAAGAGAAAAACTGTTTGAGGTTTCCCTCTGAGAACATTCGACTTCTTCCTCAGAGGTGAGGGAATTTGCTCTCCATACTCCATGGAGCAATGGTGGGGGGATTAGACTCCAACTCCATTAAACTTTCCTACAGCCACAGGGGACTATGCAATTTCTAGCTCTTTTCTAAATGATAGTTTGCTCAAAAGGCCTCCTGCTACATTTGAAATGTAGGACAGGTGTTACCACATTAGCTATAGACCCACACAGAGAACCCATGGACATAGGAGAGTGGTAACTCCACAAATTCCACAAAAATTCCTACTGTATAATCTAAATAGAAAAAAAGGGAGGTTCTCAGATTAAGATGATATGAAAATATAGTTTTCTTTTAGCGTTATAACTTTAGAGGGGATTTGAAAGTTTCCTGTTCTCCGGCATTAAAAACTAGCAGTAAAACATCACGCAGTACAACACTGAGTTTTAATACTGATCTTTTTTTCACATAAGCCACGAAGCAACTCTGTTTCTAGGATTGCTATCTACAGAACACATAATCTTTACCCTGTCACAAGTCTTTCCTGCTGCTGCGGAATTTGTTTCATATGATATCCTCCTCCTGCTATTTCCATTTCGGAACAAGCTCTCTTACCTCCTCCCACTCCACTTAAGTGCTTGTGTGTGACTGCAGCTGAAAGTAAGGGGTAGTCACTGTTGTTGTCATATTTGTGGAAACACTGTGCAGATGACTCACTGTGCTGACAACCTGAAAACTCCTGCTCTTTTGATCTGGTACTTGCATTTCTTCCTCCTTTGCCACATCCCAAAAGTCAAAGTAAGTGGACATGTCCTCTGTGTGTGTGACAGTGGTTATCAGGACTTTTTCTGTGTCCAAATACTTTTGACTGAAGTCACTGGGGTTTGCTTTAAAGATCCCAGGATTAACTTTTCCTTTCATACCTGCAAAGAAGGCAACATTCCATATCAGTATCATTCATCAAGTCAGTGATTTCATGAAGGTAAGATGGTGGGCATGAATCTTATTACCACAGTGGTTCCCTTGAGCTTCTGTGGTGAAATAAAAGGGCATCAAACCATTTATGAATTATTGCTGTGGTCTTTGAGGTCCCTCTGTTCTACTCATATAAATGGAGCATCAGCAGAAATTATCATCAGGTCAGGTAACTCTAAGCGTCAGATCCTCAGCAGATATGAATCGCTATCACTCTAATAAAAAAATAAAAAGTCACCTATTTTGAGGTTCGGCTCTAGGACGCATTTATCTTACTGTGTTCATCTGAATTTATGAGGAACCTGCACTTAAAAATGAAATTACATCTGAGAGGTAGGAACAAGGATCATCTTTATATGAACAATGGGATATGACAAAAGCATAGCAAACAAAAATTCAGGGGTCATGAATACCCAAATAATTTACCTTAAAGAACATGCAAAAAGATGTTTCACTGGAATAGGATGTTGTCTGGAGATAACATCAAAGTTAGCACAATATCACGGCTGTTACCATTCAAAAAAATTCTGTCTACAGTTAAAAAGATAAACGGGGCTCATGAGAAAGATAATTCAAAATCTAAAATTAAATATTTTGCAGTCTCCAGTTAAATTTAATGAGTAGCAAAACGATTTAAGAAAATAAGGCATTCATTTCATGACTATTGTATAGGTGGCTATCGGTGCTTGTTATGACTATAAGATCACACTTCAGATATCTACATCTCTCCAGTTTTCATCTCTTCCAAGACTTATAGCTCTGGCACTTCTCTATAGTTCAAAAATACAGCACAGCTTCTTGCAATTTCCTGAGACACTGCACCTGCAATATATTCATGATAATTGCTCCGAACTCATGCATACAGATGACAAAAGAACCTGAACGGCAATTCAGCTTTTTCATGCAAAGGAAACATAATTGTTTTATAATATGCTGTAAGTTTTAAACCTGCAGGTTAAGTATTCATTTAATTATTTAGGAAGAGGTTGCACTTCTACTACTCTCTCTCTACAAGAGGCAGCCTGCCTCTGCACCATGCCAGGAGAAGGAAGGGGGAAGAGCTCAGATTTAGGATTTTTCTTCCTCTTTTTGCATCTCACACTTTCCCCTTATTACAAATGCAGTTTTGCTTCTACTGCCTCTGCTCATCCACTTATCACTGATATTTTCAGAAACAGACTATTTGAGACAAATATGTTGATGAGCAAATAGAGGAAGAGGAGAAAAAATAGGGACTCCTGTGTTTCCTGCACAGGTAACTGGATTCAACACAGCTATTATAAACCCCATACATCAGATCTTGTACTAGTTAAGGGATTTTGTTTCAGACGCTATTAGCAGAATCGCAGGAAAAAGAATGATTGTGTAACAGAGTCAAAAGTATTTTCGGTTTCAGATGAGAAAACTTACTTTCACAGCAGACCTGGTAAGATGTATCAGTAGCTACCAAATATCTCCTTTGGTTCAAAACATTGAAGCCTGCATTTTTTCAAAATGGACAAACCAGTGAAAAGGCTTACCTCTGGATTTGTGTGCGTGTTTGATCCAGTAGTTGTAATACATTGTCGTAGCACACAGAGTCATTAAATTTATCTAAAGGTACTACATTAAAAAATCATCAAATGCAATGAATCATGGTTTAAATTTTCAAAAGACCTCACATAATTCAAGGGTCCACTTTCCATTAGTACTTCATAGGTAGTAATGAGACTTCACAGAATTAAGCAGTGCGACACCTCGCTCATAATGCTGATCCTACCTCACACAAATTTTCCATGGATAGGAACCTAAATGCAGGATCAACAGAAAGCTGCTGAGCAGAACATGCACCAAACTATCAAGAGAGAAATTTCAGCCTAAAGGAACAGTGTTTATACATGTCCAGAGAGACCCAGTCTCTGTACAGATCGTTAATAGATCTCTGTACAGATCTTAATAGATCCTAAATAATCTCAACCATTTGTATGATACAAAACATTGAATTTACATTTTTAAAGAGTAGTAGTGATAGGCCAGGTGAAGTGAGAGCTTTGGAGTTGTCACCCTGTGAGGGTGTGGGGGACAGGGTCCAATTGCTCCTTCTGCCCAAACCATAGCCTGAGCTTGAGTTCAAACCAGCACCCCAAGAGAGAATCTCAACATCCAGCTTTCCGTAGGTTGGAAAAATTATCTGAGTCACCAACACAAGATTTGCTCCTTCTTGTAAAAATAATTCAATATACAGAGAACTGAGGTCAGAGAGAGTGTCTTTAATCCCAGTAATTAGGAAACATATCCAAGATGGGAGTTCAGTTCCACATCTGATAGATATCACTGCTCCAGAGCAGGGATCTGAACCTGGGTCTTTTACCTTTGTCTCACAGCTACCATTTACTTTAAGCATGTTTTGATCATGCTGGTAACATCGGGTCTATAGCAAACATAGTCCCATTTCAAAGGCTTCAAGGTTTTAGGCTGTAGAAATCCTTGAGGTGGATCTCAATATTTAGGTGAGTTTGGACAGCAAAATCTTGAGCATATGCAAAACTTAACATGCTAAACTAATAGTCAGGAGGTAAGTGACAGCTAAGGAGTAATTATTCCAATGGTACATGAATGCTGGGACAAGGTGATGCCTACATTGTGCAGCAGATTATGGTGACAGAAAAGCTCTGAGCTGACTTTCACAGTACATCCACAGAGTTCAGCACAGCACCATGCAGAGACAGTCACACGGGTCTCAAAGGCAGCCTAGCCTTTTTGGTATGGCAGAACATGCATTATTAAATTCAATCCCTGTTTCTCAGCAGAGCTAATTAGTTCAGGTGCAGCTCAACGCTGCTATAATTATACTCCATCTGCTTCCAGAGCTAGCTAGTTTGGGTGCTGAGAGCTAGGAAATTTCTCTGCAGTAACCCCTCATGGGAGGGGGCATGATACTATTATGTCCTTAGGCGTGAAAAGAGATGGATTGACGCTTTGGTCTCTTTGATGATGCGAGTCTTAGCAGCCTAAATCCTGCGGAGTTAAATCCTCTCAAGGGACAGATTTTTTAAGATGTTTAAATAGCTAAAGCCCCAGGTATGGCCCCAGTGAGGCTTTTGAAAAATGCCTCATAAGCACTAAGTGTTTGTTGGGTGGTAAATGACTCTGTGCAGCAGCGCAGCAGTGAGAGCCTCACGTCAGACATCTGACTGAGGCAGTCTGTCGGAGGCAGCAGCCCACAGGGCCCTGGCTCTTACCAAAACCTTGATGTGGTCAGATTGTCTTTGCTGGCTTGCAATCCAGCATGTAAGTGCTAAGACTCATTTGGCTACACAGAAAATATCAAGCCTGTCTGCTTCTTAAGAAAGAGACAGTGAAGACTCAGATGAATGCTAATTTAGCGCTCAGTATTCACTCACTTGAAAACGAAGCCCTGATCCAAAGACTACTGCAGTGAATGGAGTACCTCTCCTCCATGTCAATTCATATTGGATCAGGTCCTGAATTTGTGGCATGGAGCAATTAGTATGAAATAGATTAGGTAACAGCTTCCTTTATTCAGTTGCACAAGTTTTTTCAAGATGAACTGATTGCCCACATTTGTTTTGTACAGACGGCTAAATCATCAATACCAACAAGACTGGCATTAATCAACAGAATTACTTCCCTGCTCTCACAGGTATTTTGCTTCATATCCCTTTACAAAGGCTGTCAGGGACTGTCTGTAGCTTCCAGTACTATACTATCGGAGGATGCAGCAAGGCCATGCAGCCTGACCATGGGAGAAAGAATGTAAATAAGAGGTGAACATCCAACCATACGTGAAGGCTAGTGGTAAATATAGATAATAGAGCTAAGAATAGCGTTAGTATGTAAGATTCTAGGAGACGGTGTGTGAGTGCTGCTGTGTGAAGACAATGTAATATTCTGGATGAAGAGAATAAAGCTGAATTTAGGCCATCATCATCAAGTGCCCAGTTTTATTTACATGGCCGTCCTCGTATTTAATACAACACTATACAGCACTGCCACAGCACATTCTTCTAGATACTGGAGTCATCCATATGCATTTGACCCACAAGCTTTTCATCAGCACACTCAAATGAGAATACTTTCAGTGACCATGTGAACCCCACAACATGTTCTCACTCCATCTGCTTTGTTTAACCACACATCACCTCACTTTGGTAGCATTTATATGTACTTGTGGGTGTGTATGTGTGTCTGTGTTCAGAGACAGTGTTCAGCTTCCATGTGCACTGTGCAGGTGTGAATGACACCTGCATTTAACAGGATGGAGTCTGTGTGAGCGTCTGTGTCACTGCCATTAACAATTTGTCTCCCCGCACTGCTGCCGATGCCGGCTCTCTCAGCAATGCTACGCCTCTGCTTGCTTTCTGTCTTCCAGGGGCACTGACTAAGGCTACTGAGACTGTTAGATATTGATTGAAACTCAATCAGTTGCTACTTATCTAACAAATATGCAGACATTACTTTGTGAAATGATTTTGGAAAGTGACAAAGGGAGCTGCCCCACATCACCCACTTTTAGGAGAAGAGCTCTGCATTTCTGCTTTGGGTCAGCCACGGCTGTCTCACTGCCAAGCCGCTCTCTCAGGGTGCAGGCAGCCTCTGATGCCTCTTCAGACAGGAAATAATTACTTGTTATATAAAGGTTGCTGCCTACTACTCGTGTATATTCAGTGTATTCAGTCTCACTAACCTATCGGTCACACTGCACTGCAGTTCTGGACCACGTGAGTGGTATACCCTGAGAGATGGCACCCAAAATGCCTGTCCGAGCCCAGTTGTGTGCCCCAGCTCACCAGCCATTCCCACCAGTGCCTTTCACCATCCCACAGTCCCCAGCTTGGATATCCTGAGGAGCTTTGGCTCTCTTAGATACGCCCCATCAATGGCAGCAGGCTGCCACGAGGCAAATCAAAGGCAGTAAGTAATTAGTGACTGAGAGGTGGTAAGGAGCCGGTATAAGGGATTTTTGCCCATTTCTGTGCAAGGCTAGAAGTTTAACTCAAAGCATCTCCTGCAGCGGTTTAGGTTGTTAGTGCCTGACTTTGTACTGAAAAGAGGGTGGACTCACAGTCAGTCACAGCAGAGAGGTATTTTGAGAAGCTGTCTCCACACAGTTACCTCATCTAGTCTGAGAAGTGTGTGTGAGTGACTAAAGCCTGTGCACTGTACATTCAAGCAGGTGAGTTAAACCACTGGCAATTAAAAATAACCTCCCTGGTTTTGCAGTGGGACGGTGGATCAGATGTCACACCAATGCGGGGGCTCAGCAGTGAACCAGAAACTTACAGCTGGAAGTCAGGACATGACTATGGAATGAGCTGGACACAATAACAAGGGATCAGAGAGCTCTCAGGTCTGAAGCTCAGCATTAAGGTGTGGGCCAAATTACCCTTTTAGACATGACCACAGGTCATTCAGGAAGTCTCATGAGCCTCACAGACTTCAGCTCCCCTAAACCACTAAAAGGCCAAAGGCAAATGCAGCTGATGCAAAAGTTCTCCAGAACTCATAATTAACTTTTTCTTTGCTTTTGTCTCTTGGTTCTTCCTTTTCTTCTTTATAATTTTGTAACCTCTCTGTGCAAAGAGAAAGTTGCCATTCCAGTATCTGCTCTAGCTTTAAATTTCAAGTTTTCAGTCCATTTTTGTTTTCCATTTCTCATTAATACATTACAGATGACTTATTTTATTAATTGCAGTCTATTTTTCTAGTTAATTTAATTTTCTGGGAAATAAATGCTTTCCTGACCTCTTCCAGTCTTGTTCTAATGCTTAGCCAAATGTCTTAAGGCAGTGAAGGAAAAAACAAACAGCTGAACATCTGCTGAAAAGGTTGCAAGGGTGAATAATCTCTAATAGCTTCTAATGAGCTTCCAGAAATATATTGCATAAGGAGCAATGCACAGACATGAGTTCTTAAACCCTTGCTTATAAGACTATCTTGCTCAGTTACTTCAGTCAGTTACAGACAGAAGAAAATTCATACGCAGAATATGTTATCAGATGCTTTTAAAATGCATCCTACAATGACATATCTCTCTTCAAGCAACCATTAAGTGGGCTCAACACACACCCTGCTGTTATGCTTTACGGGTGTAATTTACATCAGGAAGACTGGAAGCAGTCCCTTATTATAGCTGAAATTCTCCATCATTTTGGTGCACTGCTTGTCTGTCTCATAGCACGCAAACACAGGAGCTCACCTGCGACCTGCATCCAAAAGCTTCTTTGGTGATGCAGCTCAGCCCTGCCCCTGGAAGTAAGGATTAGGAGGGCAGGGTCAGAGATCAAGAAGGGCATCTGGTAGCTGTACAGGTGTAAAAAAAAGTGCTGTTACTATTCCCCAACTCAGTGGCCAAAGCACTAACAGGGCAATTGCTGAAGAGTAATCTCTTCTCTTTGCCTTGGATTTCAGTTTCTCCTCTTTGGGGTTGCCCTCAGTTCAGCCACATATATCTGCCTGCCATGCTCGGGCAGAGCATATAAGTAAACTCACTACAAGGAAAGTCAATAGAGTTTCACTCACTTACAATAGAAGTGAATTTAGCCACCAATCGATAATGAACAGCAAAATGTTCCCTTCGTGCCTGTTCTTGCAGCTGTCCTTCATCTAAAGAGTTCAACCTCACTTAGAGAATCAATGTATCAATAGAAAGTAAACTGTGTTTTCAGTAAAACTGAATATGTGAGCAGAGTCAGCATTGTATGATTATTAATTTCCAAAGTTAGCCACAAGCTTTTAACGGTTTCCATTAAATCTCCAAATGAAATTGAAGCACTTGGAAAATCATCAACAAATTCTGTATTAAAATACTCTCCTCCATCCCTCTGCATGTGCAGAAGCAACTTGGCATATTCCTAGGGCAAGCAAGGATACACTTTTGACTGAAAGCAATGATAATTCACTGCCTCTTATGTCTGGGATAGCCCTGAGCTTATTCTGCCACCTTGTGTGATCAACATATAATACAGCACAATCTCATTTTCGAGTCCATATTTCTTTTTCCACTCCATTAGGTCTCACATCTTATTTAGTACTCCTCAAAGCTGGGAGTTTGTTAAACTCTGTGGAGACAACAACTCATCTCTGATATTCTAATATGGATTGTCAGGATAAACCAAATGTAATATTTTGTTCATACACCACCTCCGCAAAAGCCACTTAGTTTTATTAGAGCAGTGAACACTTCTTGGTAACTATACAAAATAATGCATATTTCTGTTAGCTTATTGTTAGATTGTGGTTCTCTTGAACTTCATTAAAATTATTTCCTAAATAATGTCTGGGAATTGTTTTAGCCCATATTATCCATTAAAAGCAATTTATTGAAAAAAGGAAAAAAATCATTTTTCCAAAAAAAGACTTGAGCTGTGTGACTAGCCACTCCTTCTCCTATGGCCTATTTTACCATTATAGAAGTAGTTTCTTTACACTTTCCCCTACTGGAAAACTGTGAATTTTAGAAAAACATTTGGCTTTCTATGTAAAATGTCTGTTGAAAGCAAATACAAGGGTAGTCTTTCAGAAAGTTTCTCCACTGTTTTCTCAGTGTTTCTAATTTCTGCCTCTGTATTCAGTCATGACAATATGAAAAATTAATATATGTAAAATTTAAAAAAGAAAAAGCCTTTAATGAAAACCCCAGTTAGAGCCTGTTGGATAAAAATGTTTGATGTTTTTATTAGCTGAATGAATTAGTTTTCTTCTTCTGGAAACAGGTAAAGCATTCCTTAAGTTCGTCTACAAAACCGTCTGAAGCTTTAGGTCAGACTATCGTGAGAGACTCCACGAGGGATCCTCATGCCTAGAAATGACTGCCAGTGCAATGCAAAAATCAATAAAGCTACATGAAGCTGTTACCTACGGATGTCATCTCTCTTGGGATCACCAGCAAGTGCCCATGTACATCGCAGGTACTGAAACACTTAAATGTGACACCAGCCGTGTCCAGCAAGGCTACCAGTATAGAGAGGAACTTCACCTTGTTCACAGAAAGGCTCTCAGCACATGCAGGTTTTAAATACCTGTGAGGTTGTGTCTGCTGTTAAGCAGAGGTGACAGAAGGTAGGAAGCAGATTATCAAAAGCTCCTTCTAAATCCTGCAAATGCAGATGTTGACATCTTTTATTGCCTTATGTTCTACAGATACGGACCTACATTTCTTATCCAAAGTGAACTATGACTCAGACTTAATTAACCAGAAATGTGGTGCCTACAAGATCTATCCTAAAGGTAGAGTGAATGCAGTCAAAGCAAAATTCATTCCTGTAGTCTAGTTTTAATGTCTTTTACACAGCGAAATAATTATAGCTAAAAGCTGATGTTTCCACTTCATACTTTTGGAATACAATTCATCTTACAGTATCTCATCATGACCTTAAATTGTTGCTGTGGTCAGAAAAATGTTTGTGGTAACATCATACCATTTCACTCACCATATATTCTGCAAGTAATCAAATCACAGGGCTGATCTCCAGTCCTTCCGTGAGGAGAAATAATTGAAGCAGAAAGATTCACAGTGATTTTCATAAGAACCAAGAAAAATACGTCTACAAGATACCACTCAAAAAAACATGCAATTTGCATGTCAGAGACAACTTTAAAAAACTTGGAATTTGACAAATAATTTCAGGCCATACGAACACACCTCTCCACAGTTAATAATGAAAGTAATTTCAGAAAAACTGTTTACTTTAATTACCCTGCACAAAATTTTGACCTTTCTTTCAGAAATTTTTTCAAAAAGGATTAATAAATTTATATATTTAAGAACAAAACTGAAAATTTTGCCTATGATTGTATGTTTCTTGTTGACCTAGAGAGGAAAATCATATTAAAATATTTTTTCCAATCACATACTGATTAAAAAACACAACCTTCAAAACATGTTACGCACAGTTTTAATTTCAAAAGGCTTTGTCTCAAGTTTCAAAAGCACAGAGCAACCCTGCAATGTGCATAATTAGCCTAGTATAAGGGAGCATACAGTAAAGGGACCTGGAAAGTTTGAATCCCTTTACAGGCTCTTGCAGAGCCCTTGGCAAGTCATTTCATTCCCTTATATCTCTATTTCCCTTTCTATTAAGTCAGGGCAATAATACCTACCTTCCCTGAAGAGGTGACAGTAATTAAGTCAATGTTTAGCATAGCACTTTCAAGATGCAAATCTCTGCATTAAAGTTCTAAGTACTATTATTATTATCATCATTATCACTGATTATCATTAAGCTAAAGCTACTGTTTAATTCTGTATGTTCTCATTCTGAGAGATACATTCAACTACCATTGTAAGCTAATTATACCATCTACTCTTAAGTATAGGAGTACAAAAGCATACCTTCTGCTGCATTTGCAGTCTGTTCCCTCTTTCAAATACTCTTTGTGTAAAGGAAAATATATTCTTAACTAATGCCTTAAGGAAGTTTACATGGTATTGCCAAATTAGCTCATTGCAATTAGTATCTCAGGTTTCTCTGCAATCCCAGGAAAATAGCAGTAGCCACAAACGCAGTTAATGATGACTTTGTAAAACAGAACTGGAAGTTAATAGTGAAAGGGCTGTCAAAGAGCAAAAGGCTGCATTTCAAATGACCTTTAAATCCTCTGCGGCTCCTGCAGAGGATAAAAGGTAACATGAGTGACAAAAAAGGCTTTTCCAGCTCACCAGATTTCACCAGGTCAAAGAAAGAAGCATTTGTATTGAATAAATAAATAGATAATTCATCTCCCAGCTGTTTTGGCATCTTTCCCGATATGAGGACAGGTAGGAAGCAGGTCTGTGAAGCTGGATGAATTTCAGAGACCTGTGAAACAGTCAGAGAGCCAGAGAACTGAGCCCAAGTTGCTTGTTACGCAGAACAGAAAGGAACAGAAATTTGCCCACAGGGCTTCAGATGCAACGTGTGTCTGTGAATGATATTAAAATGCCAATGTCAATTTAAAACTAAAAATCAGTTTCTTCTGGTTTTGCTCACAAGAATGTGCAGCTGGGTGACGTAACCCTGCCACCCTCCCTGCTGACTGTCACAGTCATCTGCAAAGCTCAACTTGTGTGAGCTTCCAGATGTCTGGGCACAGATATGGCCAACACTTGTACCTCAAACCCTATCTGCAATGAAAATAGGCATACACACATAGACACACAGTAAAGAGGTGGTGTGTCACATCTTGGCATGAAGCCCTGAAGAAAACCACTCTTCTCCTCCTGATTGTTTGTGTTATGACAACACATTAGTCTAAATAAATAAGTAATTTTTAATGGACATTGAAACTTTATAGCCTTGAAAGAACCTCTTTGACATAAGACATTTTGTGACAATGCAGTGTTTTGAATCTACATAATCTTTCTGTCTAAGGATATCAATGCAAAAAGTTTCTGAAGTCAAATAATTAAAAATGCGTGAAAATGCTGAGAGACAAAGTAAATGTTACTTTTTATAGGGAAGAAAACTGAAACCTAGACGTTAAAATCTGCATCCAATCTCACACAGTTGGATGAGACACATAATGGTTCATATTCTCAGTGGTGGCGTATTACAGACCCACCAACCATTTGAAGAACACTGTGGTTCCAGTCTTCTTTATGTGCCAGGTTATCTCTGTGCTGCAGGGGAGGCTTTCTGCAGTGCCCTGAGTCTCACCCATGACAGAGGGAAGTCAAACGTGCCTGCAGTGCTCATCAGGATCCCAAATGCCAGGCAGGCACTTCCAAGTTAATAATTAAGCACAGTCTGAGCCCTCCGTAACACAGGGACTGGAGGGAAGGCTTTCCTCTCTCGAAGACACTTTTCTGTCATTTAATGTGACATACTACTCACCATCCCCTCACCCCAGTTTTCCTTATGGGAGGACATTCAAAGGATAGTTGCTCAACCCTCATGAGCAAAAGAGGTTAATGAAGATTTTTTAATGGAAGAGGCAAATTACTTCTCTAATGTAAAGAAGGGGTTGAGAAATGAATGAACAGTATTCAATTACATTAATACCTAAGATAATGGGAGAAAAGTCATAAAGCACACACGTACATAGACAGCTATCCATCTGCTCTTTGCCTTTCTTCACGTCTTGTAGAAAGCTATCCTGAAGTGGCGTGGAACTGGCTGTTGTCATAAATAAATTTTTATAACTGCAATAAGAAAAAGAGAAAAAAAGTAGACTGCAAGAAGGGAATTCTTCATATAAATGGCACCTGCATGGCCATCCAGTGCTATTAGTCACTATAACTCAAGAGGAAAAAGTTTTATTGGTAAACCAGTGTGACTCCTTGTTAAACTTCTATGCAAGGCATTTCTGCTTCTTGTCAAAACCGATTTCCAAAAACAGCCTAATTTTCCCTATAGAAGCAATCTGAGAAACAATTTACAAACATTGTTTCTGTTGGGTGGCTATCAAGTACCTTTGCTTCTTTGTCTGATATTCTTAAAGTATGTTTAAGCATTACTGCACAACCTTACAAGACAACAAAAGGGGGGTAGGAGCAGGCTGTTCAATAACGTCAGATGGTTCCTGTTCTTTAAAACTGAGACAACTGAATTTTGCCAGCTAGAAAATTGTACAATGTAATCAACATACTGACAAGCTGCAAAATATAATTTATTATACATGTCTTATCACATAATAGCATAAAATATTTATCACTGTATGTAAAAACAATGTTCACTTCCCAGACAAAACACGACTATAATTCCTTATTTTCTTTCTTCATGGGTTCTCTTTTAATTACCATTTCAATAGGCTTAGAAATGGGTGGAATTCCAAATCTAACCTCTGCCAAATCTTCAAAACCCTTGGACATTTGTATCTCTCTCATTCTGTTACTGAAAGCTTCAAACCAATAGTTTTGGAAATTAAATTGACCAATTTATTCATCACTGTAGCAGGGCTTAAAGCTCAGCAACATGATTGCCATCATGTCATTGCTGTCAATGACCTGAGTCTTGCGTTTCAGAGACTGCCCCGGTAACACTTGATAATAAGTGGAAAAACATCATTACTTCTTTTGGTACTCATTATAAAAACATTAATTGGGGTGAAAGGTAATCCACTTCATATGCTAAGTCATGGTTCTTCTCTAAGGGTGGACAAGGGGAATTGCAAGAATAAATATGTCATTGTGATTTGTTGCCACAAAATTTCCTTAAAGTTTGAATGAACTGACTAGTAGAAGGCGTCACAACACGGAAAAACATTCTTTTGATTTTAATTATCCAGGTCTAGTCTGAAAGGTCGCCATCAAAATGAGAACACAGCACAGAAAAGGGATGAGCTCCAAAGTAATGTCAGTACAATTTATGCAACCCATTTTTTCCACTATCCTGTTTTGAATAGTTTCATTTTATTTATTTTAGGGAATCACTCCATGGGTCTCACACAGAAAATTCTCAGTTCCTTTACTACTCCGTTCCTATTGTCTCTTCCTTTCAAGAACTGTTTCATTAGTGGAGGGAAAAAAAAAGAAAAAACCCACCACCAATTTTCTGCAGTTTGACTCCTGTGGCAGAAAAGCATTAAACTCACAGCCAGGCAGCTGTTTTCCCCCTTCTCAAGTGCTGTCATTCTACCTCTTTAAGCTCTATTTTATCAGTTGCATGGAATTTTTTTTCTTCATATCAAAGAGCACATTAAATTCTCATTAACAGAGAGGGGAATTAGGCATGCACAGTTAGAAAACGAATAAAAAAAAAATTCTATACTAAGTAAAGAAACAGGATTCCCCTGACAAAAGTGTATTCACAAAGAAATATCATTGCAGGTAACAAATAAACTCCCTTGGCTAAGTCAGATATAATTTCCAAGGTTTTCTGAATGCGGGTGCTCTCTTGGAGGCATTTCAGCAGGAAAAAATGGGCTCTGCTCAGCCTGGGTTTATCTCAAAATTTTTGACTTTCATGTTCATGGAACAATAATGTTTGAAAAAACCAAAAATTTAAATTAAATCCCAGGCCTTGTAAGGAGGCATCTCAGGGGCCAGCTACTGGCAGGGCTGGAGAGAATGTTGCTGCCAAATGGAAAATGTGAGCTGGCAAGTGGACCTGAAATCTTATATTTTGAACTTGGCACATCTGAAAAGTCTTGGCACTTGGTTTCAGGACCTGGAATGCAAAGCTTGTGAACAAGTTTTTCCTCATAAGAGCATAAAGAGCACCTTTAGTATGTGTAAAACAAACTTCCACCTACCCTTCTTATAAACAGCCCTGGTGTATTTTGCACAGTATGAAGTAGCCTTTAGAAATGCGTTGATTTTGCCTAGATATCCTATCTTCATTTGTCTTGCTTTGCCTCATGTGGGCCCCAATGACTTTTTGACCCTCCAATAAATTTTAGCATCATTCAGAAGGTCAAACAGTCAGGAAAAGCAAAAATGGATTAAAAAAGAAAGAACTGCAGTGGATGGAGAGTTATAATCATAAGCTTTATTAGATATTTCAGATGCTGCAGACTTTAATGGCAGCAAGCTTTTAAAAGTTCAGCCTCTGCTTTTACTGGTATAAGGGGATACTGTTATTTTTTCCATCTGATTTTTAATATCACTAAGCCAAAGAGTTACCAAAGTCTTTCTGAAAGTTATATAAACTATTTAGATTATTTTAAATTAATTTTGAAATATTAGTTTAAAAACGGAAAAATTTATAAAAACATTTTCCTAGTATTTCCCTGTACCCTTGATGACAAAAAAGAGTCAAAAGAGACAAAAAAGAGTCAAAAGAGACAAAAAAATATTATTTGCCTCTCTCTTCTCATCTTAGCCTCTCTGCATTTTCTGGTTTTCTCTTTTTTCTTTTTTTTTTTTCCCTCTTTCATAGGGCAGAGAGGGAACAGACATCACTGGTAAATCACAGCTTTGAAATTAAATAAAGGCATGGTTGCAGTCTCTTTAATATCAACATATTCTCAATATTAATATTATTATTATCATCTTTACCAGCTTTATGGCTGAAGCCTAAGCATCTGAGAGACACAACTGCTTTCATAAGTCACATTTCTCCTGTAATATGCTCACATGTGGTGAGCAAGTAATTTATCCTGTTAATATCTTGTTCAGCTATTGAGAACTTTTGAGTTTGAAACTGCTGAAAAGAAGCCCAAGACATAAGGTGCAAAGGAATTTTAAAAATTGTTCTGTAGCCAAGCCAACCCACCTTGGACCCTGAATGTGCAGAAAGTCTCCAGCCCATGAATCATCTATATACTATGTTGCGGTCCACCATGCAAGCTGTAGAGAAACACTGCCAAAATCTGATCTCCAAAGCCTCAGACAGCTTAGTCGGTATAAATTATCTCTTAGGATAAATTATGCTGTCTTGATTTGTGAATTTGACACTCTCTCCATTTGTAACTTGTTTCCTTCATCCTTTGCATGTGTTAGCATAGTACTGGAATACATTTAAAATCACAAGAGATCCATTCCCATTAGTGTGGAAGGTTATTTCATGTAAGTATTTCCTTGTTTCTAAATATTCTTTTGCACAGTGTTTTTTCCCCTCGTATATCCTGAAAAAGGAAGAGAAAATGGCATAGACACAGTATAGGGTTTCAGCCTTCCTTTCTTTTTTATTCTTACCTTTACAAGACCACAATATTATCATTTATTCTTTTTCTCATTCACTTGAAAATACATTTTTTAAAACTTCTCTTTGGATATACTAGATAAAACATACATGCCTTCCAATGAAAACTGTTTATTGTCAGTGTAATTTTGAGGTGAAAATATGAGACAGATGGTTTTTAATAAGAAATATATGGTTTTTAATAAGAAAATAATTAAATCTGATTTCACACTCCCAGTTCAGCAAACCAGAGAAGGCCTGTTCTGATGCATGGTTGAAGTGTACTGACAAAACTGTGCTAAGAGCGATAGCTGGGTTAGCTTCTCAAAGTCTGCCTCTGCACTGCAGAGAGGAGGACACAGCAAGCTTCTCACACAAGTCTCCCAGGGATTCACAGGTGATTTAGGATTCAAATCCTTTTCTCCATCTTTCTCTTGAGGATTTGCTTTCATGAGAGAAATCTCCTGCTGATGCAGAACTACTGCACTGGAACTCACACCATACCCCTCCTGGCTACTGGGCTGGGGGGGGGATGCTCTCCGAGATGATAAACTGATGTCTCCAAGGAGGATTTCACTCACTGGCTAAAAGGCACTAATTTAAAGGAGTGCCTAGCTACAGTATGATATATCAAAGCAAAGACTACTGGGAAAATAATGGGCTTTTAAAAGAAGACATATTCCAGAAATTATACACATTACAACCTGCTCCAAAGTCCCATTACACTTGGCAGATGATTAACCAGGCTGCAGGTAAATGGCAGAGTTTGCCAGAGCCATTGGAATTTGGGATTTGTTGAAGTTCTGAGTGTATTTCCATGACGGAAATACAAATAAACAAACAAACAAACAAAACCTGTTTTATTTTCATTTATTTATCAAGCAATGCCTTGCTACCACAATACCAAAAGGAACTATAATTGCCAGACTAATGAATGTCAGGGATAAATGGCCTTTCTATTTGCTCTTTAGCCAAATGGTTCCTAAAAGAGGTACACCCTCCAGAGCTTCCCTGAAAGCCAACATCACAGCAAGGGAGATAGCAAAGTGAGCACAAAAAATAAATGCGTAGGTCAGTATTAAATTACCCAGTTAGTCAGACAGGCTGGAGACAATACGACTTCAGAAAAAAAACAGAAGTGCCACAAGACAACTTACTGATACAAGAGTAGATAAAAGCACCACTAGAAGATAACCTGACATTATCACATTTTATTCTTTACAATATCTTAACACTCTTAAATATCTAAAACATCCTGAAGCCAGCATTTGGAAATGGAAGAGAAAGAATTGACAAAGAATTGACTTGTTCCTTGTTCCTGCATATATAGGATCTTGTACATGACCAACATGAAAGTCAGATGTCGCAGTAGACCTTTGACAGTGCCTGCGCCCTCCAGTGCAGACACGTCCGTGCACAAAGGCAGTTGCCCTTGACAGACAGTTGTTCTGGGCTTGCATGCATAACTTCAGATGCAGAAGCCATAAAACTTTGTAAACCACTTCACAAGTTCACACAGCAGAAGCTGTTTGGTGGATTTAGCCATTGTTTAAGCTTCTCTGAAAACAGATGGGAACATGATGTCTTCTCACAAGTTTCATTCCCACATTACTGCCACAGATGGTGCTCTCATATCTTTGAAGAATAGGTCTTCTTTCTTACATAAGCAATAAGAGGATGCAAAATATTTCACATTACTGCTGATATAACTGATCTCAAGCAGTTACTGCTGAGACATTGCTGAGACATGCAATTTTTTGCTCTCTGCCCCTCCCAGAACATATTCTCATTCTCCATTTAATGATCTTCCACTCAAAACCAACAGTCAGGGACACATACTGATATATCATCAGCTATTTATCTATATTTTCTTTTAAAGAAGTTCATATGCCCTTACGGAGTAATTCTATGAATGTCACTGTATTAATGTAGTTCATTGAAAATGAAGAAAGAAATTTTTTTCAGATTATTTAGTAAAATATTGTTCTGTTTCCTATGGGAGTTTTTTGTTTTTTCTTTTTTCTCCCACTAAGCACAAATAACTGGATAGTCATATTTCAGCCTCCTGAGGGCTCATTTCCCAAACGGATGTAAATAATAAATCAAGCACCAATGGGAGAAAACTTGGTTCTGAAAACAGGCCTCTACATTTCAGCATCCAGAGTGTCATACAGTGTTGTTGCTGTACCTTTGCACCTCTTAAACAATTACTTCACTGTAATTTTTTGCTCATAATTGTTACAGGAAAAATCAGCTCCTGATTGCACAAAAAAGAATTTGAAAACCATCAAAGAGGAAAAACCTCCTTCCTCCTCATCGTTTACACCCATCATCTATTAATTTGCTAAGGAAGCATACACTTAAGCAAGCTCTAAAAATTAAAGTATCTTATTATCACAATAGATAAATCAAAATTAATACAATCAGTCAGTTGTGACTGTTAATTACCATCTGGAAAACTCGAAGTCCAGTCCAAACAAAGACCTCCAGCCTCTAGGTGAAGTGCAGATAGTTAACATCTGTGCTTTCCACACCCAGCTGCTGCAGGAGCATGTTGACTGCATTTTTAATACACACAGTACTTTTCCTCAGTCTCCTCACAGTCTTACCATGGGCCCCAGAGAGTGCTTGTATGCCACTGGTATAGTATTGTTTTGGTGCTTACTTCTTCAGGTCAAAACATCTGAAGTGGTCGGAGGGCTGGCTGCATTATGGTTTGCCAGAAGAGGTTTTATAGTGTGGTGCACACACTACACATGTCATGAGGGAGAACAGAGGCATCTGACCACAGTAGACCTTCTGGTCCGTGGTGCTGGAAGTCTGCACAGAGTAGAGAAATCCAAACCTTTTTTAGTCTTATCCATGTTGCCCACAAAGCAAAACGTTCTTAAACCCCCAGGTGAATATGGTCACAAACAATTGGTTTGCTTCAGAGAGGACCCTGAGTGGAAATGTCTGTTAATGACCAGAAAAGCCAGGCCCTGGAGCATCCTGGGGAGTTAACTTGTTTTTAATCTTCTAGGAACTTTGAAATCAAGTGAGGGAGAAGAGATTTTAGAATATTATACTTATTTTCACTTTATAAATCATGACAGTTTCATTACTTAAAAAAATTATGTTATAATCCACAATAAAGATGCTTATAATTACCTGTGTGCATCACCTTTTATAAGTTCTATTGTAAAGAGAATAAATAAAAGAAATAAAATAATCTCAAACTATATAAACTTCTATTGCCTGAGATATTAGACATTTAATTACATAATTTTAGCTGGTTTCTTCAAGTCTTTCCTTTCTTGCCTTTCCTAATTCACAAAGAGGGATATTTTGATTGCATTTCTTTGTAGATATGGTCTTTTGTTGGTCTTTGTGGCTGATGCCAACTTTCTTTAGGGCCTGATCAAATTCCTATTGAAATTAAAGACTCTCAGTAATATCAGTAGGATGAATTGAGACACTGATATAAGTGTTGAGCATAAAGTTTAACTCCAGAGTAAAGAAGTAACTCCACTGTGCATATAACTGTGAAGACAGAATTTTCTCAAGATGACTGGAAACCAAAGATGTATGTCAGATACTCAAATAATATCATTAAAATGATACAGTAAGAGAATATGTATTTGTAAAACTTGATTCTACTGTTGCTAAATAGATAGAAAATTCAATAGATACATTGAATTCCTGTGGCTTAAAGCATGTTTTGTAGTCCAGATCAAAGATGAATAGAAAAATCTGATTGTATTGCAGCCAAGATTAAAAGAAGCCTATCCACTTCAACAGGTCCCCTCTCTACCCTCATCTGTACAGAAATTTTAATGGGTTTTGTACACAAAGTTTAGCAGGAAAGTCTGAAAACTTCTTCAATTCACACCTCTTCTGGCATGAAGATCTGAGGTGACCGGAGGAACAGATAAATCTTGAGGGGCAGAAAGCTCTCCAGCAGCCGAGGACTCCCTTAAGCTAAAGGGCAGTCTTGAGAAAGACTCATTACAGAATTATGTCCTTTACATTGAAAGAGACTTGAGATATGTGCAAGAAGCTGGAAAAGAAAGGATTTCTAGCCAGATTAAACATGCTACTCCATGTTCTAACTGTTTGAGCATAAAAGAAGAAGAAGGGTTTGTCTGGATCTTAGAAATTTTAACACATGGAATCAGAGAAACCATTCTTTCTTCCTAGAGCTTCAGACATTTGTTGCTGAGCCACTGTTAAAATTAAATTTGACATTGTGGATTAAAAAAAGAGACAGATTTTGGAAAATTGAGTTAGAGGGCGAATCATTTTAACTGTTCACTTTTAATTTATCTTGAGACAGACAGAAGTTTCTTCACTTGAATTTTCAGAATCAGTTAGTAAAACATAAAACAGAATGTGAAATGTAAAATAATAATAGAATGCCACAGAATTGGCAGACAAAGCATATCCAGGTAAAGTAAGAACACATGGAGACCTCTTGTCCTACGATAAGGGATCAAGCCAAAAGATCTTGGATATATATTAATGTATGTAAGTAAATCCCACGTGCAGGTTCTTTGCTCATTCCACCTCCACAGGAGAGTGTAACTTGGCTGACAGCAGGCACGCATGGCTGACAGGGCATTGCAATAAGTTAAAACACTGTTGTGTAATAACCTGTCCATATTCAGCATATATACTCCCAACAACTCA